TTGTTTTATCCATATGGGATATGCTCTAGGGCAGACACTGTCTTAGTTTTAATCCAAAGAAAAATTATTTTCCTTGAGAACATGACAAAATATTGATGTGATCAGAAACTGGAAATTCCCTTCCATTAGGAAACTCTTACTATGAACATTTGTTTCCATCTCACTTTTACTGAATGTGAAATTGTCCCCTCCCCCCTTTCAAATCTCAAGGTGTCAAAACATGTTGGAGATCAAGCCTGAATTGCTTCCACTTAATGTAAAGCCTCCAGGGCTATGGAGCTAATGATGGATCTCTCACAGCCTGGACCTTTCCAGCAGACTGCTTCCCATGAGTGCTGCAGTCACGACACTCCTGTGATGCACAGAGCACCTAAACACAGGACAAAGCACAGCCTTATTTTGCACAGGGAGGCCAGATCACTTTAAAGGGGCTATATGTGCCTTTTCACAGCATTTCAGGCAGATAGACTTACAAATGAATTAAAAATATTTTCTCAGCAAAAAGAAAAAATCAATTTTTCAGCCTACCAACGTTTTCCTATTGAATATTTCAGTTTTGTAGAAACTGAATGCCAGGCACTCAGATTTACAATGTTTCCCAAATATTAGTATATACTTCCTGCTTTAATTAACCCAGTGGTTCCAGTTAGTGCATAACACACCAAGTGCAATATCACAAATCACAGTATGGAAATGCTGGCACATTTGAATGCAGTGAGAACTTCACCAGAATTTTATGTATAGTTTGAAAAATCAAATAAAATCCATTTAAAAAATAAGAAGGGAATAGGCGCTATTGGAGACAGGGGTAACGATTCATCTGATTCTATGTCATTTTTATAATCCTAGCTTTTGAGCTTCTGTGGCCTTATATTGATTTTCTCTGTTCATTCTCTACTTTTTTCTTTTTAAATTATGGAAAGTGAACACATTTAATATAAAACAGATTTTGCTTTATTTTTTCAGGTAAGCCTGTTAAAAGTAGAAAATACTTCATCTACTGCACACAGAAAAAGCATAACATTAAGCATTTGACATTAAATCTTGGTAGATAAATATCGTCTCTATTTAATTATCTGTTAAAAATTGATGGAAGGGTAGCATCAGCTTTTGAAATCCCCAGCAGCAGAACTCCCACTGATATCAGTGGGCCTAGGATTTCACTTAGAAATTACCTTTTATTTTTTTTTTTTCTTTTTGAACAGGCAGCATCTCTTTGTGCAATAATTGGCAGCTATTATTGTCAGTTTGGCAGATCCCAAGCTGCATGGGTCTTTGGGAAATTTATGCCTCCTAACATGCCTTGCTAAATTTAAACCTGTTGCATAATATGCTGGTTTATTCTGATGCATGTAATGCAGCTAAGAATATCTGAGGTTCAAGCGAAGCTAATACACATGCAGACTAAAAAGGAGTGTTTAAATGCATTTGGGCTTTCCCACGTGGAATAAAAAGCGTTGATGACTCCATTTAGTCAAGCTATACCTTTTCACAATCACTTCAGTGAACACACATTTAATTAATGTGACAAATGTAAATGGTAAAAAGCACCACCAACATTAAAAATAGGAAAACAAGAAAAGGCAGACTTGCTTTTTGATTCCATTAAGCCATCCCTTTAGTTCTAGATCTGGGGATAACCTGCTCTAAAACAATTCTGAGGAAAGATGAAGCCTGCTTTTTCCTCCAAAATTACAAACTGGATGACTTATTTCTACAATGTCCTTCTGTATTCCATTATTTTTTTTCCCCCACACTACACATAAGAAACAGACCTCTTTTTCTCTTTCATCTTAGAGACTGAAAAGCCTTTCTTGTAATTCACATTTTTACTTCTGGTCTGAGCCTGAACACAAGAAAATACAGCGCAGGTAGATGTGTCTACATCTTTTCAGAAAGTTAAATAGCAGCTTGATCCTATGTGAAATTTTAAAAACAATTTATTATCAATCATTACAAATAACACAGATAAAATAAGATTGGATGAAGTTTCATCTCTTTGGTCTTCATTTCTAATGCACATTCCAAAGTGAAAACTTCTAGAATCCTTGAAAGATTAGAATGGAGAATGGATAAAGAACCACTGGCAGTATTTGAGGTTTTTATTGGTTTTAGGGCTGAGGTTTTCATCACCTGACTGTTATCACCAAACCTCTTCTGGAGTAATTCCCTGAGGATGAGATAATTCCTAACCTACAACCCAATTCTCAAGTCATTGTTCATGTTCCTGTTTCATCTTGTACTTGAGCCATCAAAATACCTTTAATACTAACAGCCCAGAAATGTTCTTAATTCACACAAAAATATTCCAGGCCCCTCATTCAAATATTATGCTTCACACAAACCACTTCTTACAGAACACCTATTTAAAAAATTATCCTCCTGATTTTCAGCTTCAGACAAATAAAGGTTTCCTTTTGCTCTGTCAGACCAGCATATCCACAAGCCTTCTGCACATGACATTTACCCTCACTTTTTATCAGGTATCCCAGCCTTATTGGAATCAGCACACTGGAAGACAGCCCTAGTCTGCATTAATATAAAAGAGCCCCCAGTGAAAATGCCAAACAATTTATTGGTATCAAAAGCATGACATTGTTGGAAAAGGTAGGAGAAATGATAAAATTCTTTCTCTGTTCTGAGCCATTCCTCATGTTTCAGTTCCCCATGATACTGATGCAGAGCTATTAAACCCTCTGATCTAGAAAGGGTATCAGTTTGAGATTAGTACTCAATTTTGTGGTACAACCTGATTCTGCTTGGAATAAACATAACACAACCACCAAATAAAATGCTCAAGATAACTTTTTTAAAAAGAAAAGCCACAATATGAAAACTTTCAAACAAAAGTTCAGGATTCTTATGGCAGAAAGCCTCTCCAGAGATTAAATATGAGTGCTTTGAAAAACATGAAAAAGCATATGGAAAAAAGTGGGCATTGTTATTTATTGTTGCTATCGTTATTACTCCAAACCAGAGATAATGTTGACAGGAAAAACTGAAAGAACTAAGTCCACAGCAACATAGGCAGCGATTGGATCAAGATAAAAAATAACTGGAGAAGAGGAAGAATACAATTTGAAACATTGTGAATAGCAAGAACTAAGCATTGAGGGAGAATTCACCTGTAATTATGGTGTTTGTTAAGAGCTTTATGAAGGTTTCTAGGCTTTATGTCTAGCATACCATTATATCCATGCCATGAGTAGTGTATATTACTGAACAAGAAGTTCTGACCAAAAGCAACATGGTCTAGCCATGGACAGAGCTGGACCCCAAGCAGTGAACATCTCACAGCTGTTTTGGACACAGCTTTGCAGGGGAAGGAGATAAACCAAAAGTTTTGTTTGTTTGATACAAAGGTGTATCAGCCCCTGGCTTAACTAATCAGCTGCTAAATGCAACTATGACCAAGCTCAAAATTAGCTACACTAGGAAACCTGGTGAAATGGTGACTTTGTCTCATAAACAACAGGGCTGTAGATAAGCTGAAGTCCAGGCATAGAATACCCACTAAGGCACTGACAGGGAGTGGCTTAAGCTTAACATGACATCTCCAGGAAGGCTGCAGAGGCTATTAATATACTGCCTATTTTTCATAAGAATAAGGATGGAAGAAGCCGCCTGAACAGACACATAATCTACTCTTTACCTTTTTGGAATGTATTCCAGTTCCAGTTCTCAAGATATGGAACAATTCAGCATTCCACTCATTCTCTGTTAGTATTGTACTTCACTAACTCCCTTTGCTTTGCCCAAGATATTTGACTTTTGGTGCCCTTTTGTGTGTCTGACTCACCTTTTAAAAGAGTCAATCAAGAAAACTTCTCTTTCAACAAGTCTCTTGTTAAACCACACCTTCCAGAAGACAATGAAAACTCTCCTGAATCTCATGAAACAAGTGCTTATGAAAACAACAGACACCCTGCAAAACAGTGGAGATGTGACAAACACAAGTTTTTCTCCAGTACCTGCTGTTACATTTTCTCTCAGTAGCAGCCCAGCTACCACAAAGCATTTTAAGAGAAAAATGTATCAAAGACAAAAATACATCATAAACAAAAAGCAATTCAAAGGAATTTCTTTTTTTCATATTCTACAATAAGTATTCCTATTTAATCATTACTTTATTCAGCTCTCCACACCTTGGTCTAAATCGCCTTCACTTTCTTTATTTCCCTGGCCTCTTACATCAGAACAGACAAGTTAATGCTCTTTACTTCATCAAATAAGTATTTCTGACTTGTATAGCTAGCAAATAATTTATTTAACTGCTGACTAATAAGCAAAGATAAGAGAATCTATCACTAGAATAATCTTGGAACCCTCCATCTGTTATAGATAGTGTGTTTCTGTTCAAACAAATGCTGGGAATGAACAATTTATTTCTCTGTTTACTTCCTAACCCATACCCTGCATATTTCATAATGATGGAAAAGCCTACAGATGAGTAACTAACCCCAGAGACAGCAGAACATATATTCCAAGCTGTCTATAACTTCAGAGCCAAAGCACCAGCAAAAAAAACAGGAGATCAAATATCCTAAGGTGCTTTTGGTGAGGAGCAGCCAGTATTCTAAATTTCATTCTAATCCATCAGGGTAGAATACAGAAAATTTGAGGGTCCTAGTGACATTTTGTTTGAGTTGGAAAATCAATAGCTTTGGAAAGACTCAATAGCATAGTTAGGACCAACACTATCTCATCTTCTGAATGACTCCACTATCAGTCCATATGTTTAGATTTTGGGAAAAGGAATACATGTTCAGCACCTAGCACAGTGGTACTGGCCTTCTGGGTCCTTTGGCACTAACCTAAATTAAGTTACACTTTTAACAAAATGCAGAACCTGACACAAGTACTAATAGTTTCCTTAGATGTGGCTTACTTGCAGAAACTAACACACAGAGCTAAGACCAGCTCTTCTCATATTTTATCAGGATATTTTGAAATTGCAAACAACATAAAATTATTATGTTATTTTAATCAATCTGACTTACCTGTACATTGAAATCAGTCCCCTCTTAGCAAGAGTTCACTCATCTCCCTGATTAGATCTGCCATTTTTATAAATAGCAACAGAACCCATCAACCATCTGCTGATCTTCAGCCAAAGGCTAAGAAATAAACTGGGATTTGCCACCAATGCAGGACATACATACATCACACTGGGGAGAGCAGGGGACTGGAATTAAGGCACACAGATAACTCACAGCACACAGGGGGAGCCCAGGTGCTGGATCTGAGCTTGAATAGGCTCCTGTGCAGTGGGCAGAGAGCATGTGGGTGAGGGTCCCAGCTGAGGGCCCTCAGGGCAATTACAGCCTGCAGGTGCTTACAGGGTCCTGACATACACATAGCCATGTGCATAGATGTGCAAAGGGTTGGTTAATGTTTAGAGTCAATAAAAAAGACATCATTGTGTCCTGGATGTATGGCTTCTTGCATTAGCTTAGAGGAGATAGGTTTGGGTAATGTGCTCTATAAATCAGGGAGAAAAACCCCACTTTGCTCTCTCAGCTGATTGAATTTTTTTTCTCTGAGATATGCAAGTCACTGTGCAAGCACACCTACAGCATCAGCAGGTTTCTTAGAGCACTGGAGCTCTTGAGCAGACTGACAGCCTAATTCCTGCTGAAGGCAGTAGCAGTTTTGCAATTTAGGGTAGGCAGGTTTTGAGCAAGAAAGTCATGAAAGGATCTGAAAGTCTTCTGAAGTTGACCTCCCTAACGTTCCTAGAGTTCACTGGCTGTTCAAAAAGCACCATCTTAGATAACTGTGAGTCAGCCTGGGGATATTCATAGAATCATAGAATGGTTTATGTTGGAAAAGATCTCTAAGATCATCCAGTCCAACTGTTAACCCAGCACTGCCAAATCCACAACTAAACCGTGTCCCCAAGTGCCCCATCCATATATCTTTTAAATACCTCTAGGAATAGTGGTTCTACTACTCCCCTTAGCATCCTGTTCCAATCCTTGACAACCCTTTCCATTAAAAAAAAAAATCTACTATCCAATCTAAACCTCCCCTGGGGCAACTCAAGCCCATTTCTTACTTGTTACCTGGGAGAAGAGGATGACCTCCCTCAGACATTCCTCACAGGATTTGTGCTCCAGACCTTTCCCCTAGCTCTATTTCCTTTCTCTGGACACGCTCCAGCCCCTCAATGTCATTCTTGTACTGAGGAGCCCAGAACTGAGCACAGGATTTGAGGTGTGGCCTCACCAGTGCTGAGCACAGGGGGACAGTCCCTGCCCTGCTCCTGCTGGCCACACCATTGCTGATACAGGCCAGGATGCCATTGGCCTTCTTGGCCACCTGGGCTCTGCTGGCTCATGTTCAGCTGCTGTGGACCAGCTCCCTCAGGTTCTTTTCCACCAGGCAGCTTTCCAGCTGCTCTTCCCCAGGCCTGTAGCTCTGCCTGGGGCTGTTGTGACTCAAGTGCATTTGGCCTTGTACTATGGCCTCAGCCAAAAGCAGCTCCTACTGGAGCAGGGGTCCTCTCACAGCCTCTCCTCTCAGCAGGGCCAGGCAGCTCCCACTACACCAGCCCCAAGCCAGCCCTGAGCCCCGAGGCCCACAGCCCTGGGACCTGGCACTTGTGCTAAAGAAACCATGGAAGTACCTCCCTCTGCCAGACCAATTCTGGAATGCAACCTCAAACACCTCAAGTGTCTTTGGGACCAAATCCCTGAAATATTTTAGGTGTATTTTACCTGGTCCATTACAAAAAAACATGAGGAAGGAACAATGACTGAATGACTGTCTTTATGTTAATTTTTTAAAAATCGTCCCTTCTCTTTCCTATTTCCTCTAAACAGGTACTAAGCAATAAATGCTATCATTTGCCTATGAATGCATTTTAGGAATTTCTTTTGAAACAGTTCCCAGGAGAGTCTTCCTTTCTTTCAGTCTTGTAGGCCACTCCACACAGAACGAAGTTGTCTAAAGATGAAGCCAGAGGAGGAAAGGAACGAGAGCAGGAGCAGTGTCTGAGTCACATTCAATATCCAATGAAGTAGAGGGATTCTTAAGCTGTCTCAATTAATTTGCAATTTATAATGGGAAATAAGTAGTCCTAAAACACTCATGAAAAAGGTCCAAAGCAAGACAAGTGAACCACAGCAAATATTGAGTTATCCCCAGCATACTTCTATTTTTAAACTCTGTGGTTCCTTCAGGGCTAGAGCCAACAGCAACAGGGACCTCTCCTGCCCTCAGTGCATCAGCAGAGACATCCAAGCACTACAGCATATTTAAACAATTTCTTTTTCTTTAATCTCATATTTCCTTCCTTTCAGCAAGTGTACAGTATGCTGCTTAGGAAACATGGAATCATTTCCCCTCTGCCTGTGTTTCTAGCGCCTAACAATGTAACATCAAGGCTTTAAAGAGCCGCTGACCCCTTCAAAATCTGCGCCCTTCAGTAAATCAGCGCAAACTCGAGTTTAATTCACACAGAGGAACTCAGATTAACTTTATGAAGGACAAACAAAGGCTGGATGAGACCTGTTTGTCTTTGCCCCGCTCTTTTCCTTGTCAGGCAGCGTCTCGGTGGTGGTTTGAGGAGGAAAGCGATGAGGTGTGGTGTGAGGTGTGGCTGCTCGCTGCAGGGCACGGGATGCAGGATGACCCTCAGCGGTGCCTCCCGGCGCTGCCGGGCTGCGGGATAGCCGGGGCTCTGCTGCCACCGTGTGCCCGCTTCCCGGGCGGAGAAAAGGGCTCTTCTGCAAAACTGCTCCTCGCACGGACGTGTCCTCCGCCAAACTCCTCGCCCTAAGGCTAACCAGCCAAGCCCAAGCGAGTTCCATGCGTGTTTGAGGAGCAGGGGTGGCTGCTCTCGGTAGATGGAGGCTCACCAGCTTTACCCAGTTTCAGAAGATGCTCTTCTGCGCCTCCTGACTGCTCTGCACTAGTCCCCCAGTGTCACCCATTACAGATGGACAAGCAGCAGTCTTCAGGGCAGAGGCAGCTCCTTCACAAAGCAGCAGAGATCTATTCAGTTTCCTCCCACAAGACTGACAGCTGATGATGGTTTAAAATGTTTAAGGTTCAGACTGTTCTGACACAATCTTTTGGCCTTTAAGTGTCACAGACACAAACAGCCTGCTAAGTCCATTTCCTCATGAGCATTTACTAATGGTGGACATGCCTCTAGAGCTTGTTGCACTGGGTATGGCCAGAGGATCAAGCACACACTCTTGAACCGGGGTACTTTTAAGGTTTCCTCTGGAGAGTTACTGGAGCTGAGTGGAAGAGATATTAAATTCTTCCCAGAAATCCTACAGCACACCTCTTAAAGTGATCCTATAGCATCCATCATGAGATACAGACCAATTTGGCCCAGTGCAGGAATCTGTAACATTCCAGGACAGACCAGTGTGCTGGCAAATAAGCCTGGCTATCAGCCAGTAAATCCTGGCTCACAGAGTGTGAACCACAATACTACCTTTTTGAATCTGTTTCTAAAGAGGACAGAGTTGTTCCAGACCAGGAACAAATCATTCAGTACAGAAATGATGTCAGTACAGAGGATGTCCCAGCAACCTGGTGGCCAGGTACAAGGTCCTTCTAGGACTCTGTAAAATTTGTGGCTCTAAATAGTAAATACAGCTAAGGTTTTAAGTAAGCGTGATTATTTCAGGCAAGGTGACCCTTGGGAGACAGACCTTCCATGTCAGTCCCAGTCATTTCCCGGCAGAAAGGCACTCACATTCAAAGCACAACCATCACAACCAATCATTGCCAGTCAGAAGAGAAACAAAGACTAATTAATTGAATAAAGGCCAAATTATTTGCTCCTATTATAAGCATGACATTGGCAAGAATCCCAAATGCATCTAGCGGTAACTTCACCTAGTTTGTTGGATATTGCAGTTGCCTCTAGGGGAACATGTTCTATTATTTTCAAGGGCTTCACCAATTGTTATTCTGAACACTCTCTTTCACACACATTTCAGCTACCTAAAACAGAACAAAGATGTCCTTTACTCTCTTTCCACCTTATATGGCTGTATCAAAAAGAGAGTATCTCTGAAACAGATGTGAATAGAGAAATTATTACTCCTTGTCTTCGTTGCTCAGTTAGACTCCCTATACAATTTCTTAGCAGTCTTAGGAATCTGCTTTTCTTAGAACTTCTGGCTATTTTTTTTTTTTTAATTCTAAATTCATCTGAATCCTTCTCTGTGTTATTGAAGAAATTCAGCGAGAGCTATTTCTATAAATTCCACCCCCACATAGTCTGCTAAGAAGGGCTTGTGCAATGAGTAATTTGCCTACATTAATGTGAAAAAATGCACTGACAAAAACTGACTTGCATCCATGACAAAGGTTGTTATTCTCTTTCTTTTCCAAAAAGGGAAAGAGAGGCAACTCCCTCGTGTTCTGGTACAAAGAGTGAAAATCACGTCCCCCATCTAGCACTTAAATTAAAGGTATGCTTAAGACTATTATTTTTTAAACCAAAGCATGACTTACAGGATGTAGATCAGACTCAGTTTTACCCACTTATGCACAGCTCTGGCCTTTACTTTCCATCCAAAAGAGGAGTCATTCTGTCCATCGATGTTTCAATAGACAAAGCTGTGACATGACTATCATTGAGGTGAGTTAATTGATTTTAAGTAGCTAAGTAATTTTTAGTGTTAAAGAATGGATGGCTAAAGGGCAGTGTTGGGACAAGCCTGGCTCCAGAGACTCCTTTTGGTGTGTTGCTGCTGGCAGCATTTCTCTTTATCCACTCTGGGCTTGTTGCAGATTGGGTTTTGTTAGATCAGGACCAGCAAAGTGAAACCTCAGTTCTACTGCCCTGGCCTCCTACACACATCCAAAGGCTTTAGGATGTTCTTCAAGTGTGGAGAATTTGGCTGGTCCCAATAGAAACAATTATGGAAGTGGCTGAACTTGCTGGTCCTGTTCTCCAAATGATAACCAGTTCTCTCAAGAGTCAAGAGTATTGCCACCACTGATTTCAGAAATTGCCTGAGCATTCCTAGATGACAAAAAAAAAATCTATATTAAATACAGATAGATGATACCAAGCTACATGTAAGCCTCCCTAGGCCAGACACCATTCCCAGAAAAAAAAAATCCTCAGGAAAAAATAAGAAATTATAATACTCCTATAAAAATAATTAAATTACAGATAGAATTATTGCTTTCTGACCCTCGTTCAGAACTTATAATTAATAATTGTATACATACATTCCATATCAAGCCAAATGCAAT